TGATATCATAAAGGCAGTCAGTGTGTGCTGTGGGAGGGTAGACACACAAAGCTGGGTGTCATAACTGTGGAATTGGTTGGCATGTGTTTGAAAGATATTACCAAGTGGAAGGAGGTACCGTAAATGGACTGTACTTGTGTAGTGAAGCAGGGGTACACAGCTTTGCTGTGGATTCATTACTAATTAATTATTCTTAAAGCTAGTTCAAGCACAAAGAATATTAATTATTTAAATACAACGGATTCTTTCTTTTTCGAGTTAAATTAATGCCACGTGACCGAGATAACTGTGAGGATTGTTTAATCAGTGACATGAGACGCTATTTTTCTTTGACCCATCGGAATAAATGCGGTCATTTATTTAACAGAATCAAAATTTAACATCAAAATATGTACACATTGATTTGCTGATCTGTTTCTGATTAATAAAACTTGGCACGCTTTACTAACAAGACAACAGAACATTTCTGAAGGCATCTAGATTACTGGCAAAATAAAAAGTTTAAAGGAAGGAATGGAGAAGTTTAAAAGTAGATGGATGGAGGAAGATGTATGTTTGTTGACCAGAATTAGCACGCTTCTTCCAACACCAGCTCAAACCCCCGGTACACTCGGTGCGTGACGACTCGTTACCTTTGCAGAAGATGAATCAGCTCCGGTACAGGGTCCATTTCAAGGCTACCTTTCCAGCGTCTCCGGTTAAAGCGGCTGGTCATTGTCAGAAGTCGTGTGGTTTACTCCGTCAAACAGAACAAGCTTCCTTAGAAGTTGTAGGGCGTTACGCCCGGGTGAGTTCACAGCGAGGCGCTGTGACTCCAGCTGGGATGGACGAACCCTCGTCTCATGGTCAAATCCATCAGCTATTGATTAAATCTGAAAGTTCCTTAGGAACTCTCAGGAAGACTTCAGTCAAAGACTGAAGAAGACTGAAGACTCAGAAGACTTGAGAAGACTCCATGAAAGACTCTAGGAAGACTCCGGTCAAAGACTGACTAGTTCCAGGAAGTGTTGACTTTTAAAGAGTCCTCACTTCCGGTCACTTGGTACTTCCTGACTGGTTGAAACAACCAACAGGGGGGTGTTTCAGTGATGTCAGAGGGTTATTAAAAGTCAAGAGAGGATGCAGGAATGTTTAGGAACAATTAGTACAGACAAAGAAATGTTATGGCGAAGTGAGAAACGCAGATGCTAGTTGAAGTTATTTACCGTCTGCTAGGTTTAAAAACAAGACACTTCGTTCTAATAACTCGTTTTATGACTGTCTCTGACTTTCGACCAATATCACTACTTCTCATTCAGACAGAAGATCAAAATGCATAATTACTTTGTAAATAGACATTTAAAATGATTTCCAAGTCTAATGAGGTTTAAAAATCATTAATACTGTTTCACAGTTGATTTAAAATGAGTGGTTCACTTCAACATTTAGAAATGGTATGAACTAAGCACAATTTGATTATCAAAATATTCTAAAATAGTAATGATAATGTAAAAAGAAGAGTGTTCTTTCAATTGATTAATTCAGGATACAAGTAAATAGTCTCTGGATGAGCTAATTTGTGTTTCTGGATTCAAATCAATGAAATAGTTCCTGTCCCATGAAGGTCTTCAGAGACAGATTGTTGTCGGAGGCCTAGTTCATTACACTTGTATAGCACCTTTCCATCTTATAAAGGTACTCAAAGCGCTTTACACTACACTCTGTGCCCTCGTTTACCCATTCATACAGCATTTTACTAGATCTCTACAAAGATTAATCAGTGCTTTTAGATCACATTCATTCACCGATGGGGCGGGGGCAGATACCTGAATGGGCGAGCCCGGCTCCGACTTGCATTCCCTGTTCAATTCCAGTCCAGAAAAACACTAATCTTGAAAACAACAAACACTTTTCAGATTGTTCATGATGGGGGACATCGGTGTACTGCTTCTTTAAACTGGTCCTAGACATGAATGATTTCCTGTGATAATTATTTAATAGGTGAGAATCTGAACTCAACCCATGCCCTTAAAGACGACCTCAATCCTTATTTACTTCTTCACCATTTTAACCCAGTAAGTCCTGCTGCAGTTCTCAGGGTTATGCTAAAAAAAAGTCAGAACCCACTTCTTTCACCCGGTAACTATAGAAACAGACCAGTGCTCCATTAACAGGTGGTAACTGGAAGGAAAAGAAGGGAAGATGTAAAGAAAAAAAATGCACGCAAGCGGGAGAAAACCAAGAGGTGACGGAGATGGAAATAAGGTGTGAGAGGAGAGGAAGGGAAGCAGCGAGGTGAAACCAGTAGAGGGCAGATGGTGTGAGCGAGGAAAAAACAAGATGCAGAAGTGGATCGAGGCGTGAGAGAGGCTGGGTCATTCCTGAGGCAAACTCTGGCACTGTTTCTCAAAACCGACTGTTTTTAGATTTCAAATGTAAAACCTCTCTTAAAGTTTGGTTTAAAACAACTAAATGACGGCGAATAAGCTCAAGTTGATCAGATCATTTGACCAGTACATTTTCAAATCATCTCATTTTCCCAGTTTGTGATTCATTACAAATATTTAAATCTACAATCATCACCCTGTAGGGCACTTTATAACGCTGAAAGTAATGAAGTCACAAGTATACAAGGATAAGTATCTCCTCTGGAGGTGGGAACAACAAACAGGTGGCGGCTGAAGCCTAAGTAAAGGAAAATAACGCTAAAGAGATTAAGCAGAATTAAGACGTCTGGAGTCTGGCCAACAAGGATTACCAGTCTTGTAAACAGGATGCTGAATTAATTCTGCGAAAAGGTGAATTTGTTTCCTAATTGACCATCTGAATGCACAGACAAAAGCATGTACTCAGATGGACACGGCACAGTTTACTGTGAAACCTCATGTTTGCATATTAGTCATACAATTATTTACTGAAGCCTATTTTGTAGCACAAATCTCAGAGGTAAGACATGTAGCCATTTATTTCGAAGAATGGAGTTTTTGAATTACTTTACTGTAGAATAGTTAATAATTACCATTTTATATTCAGGAATGACATTTTTAGGGCAGTTTAGGGTAAATTAAATAGGATGCTTTTATTTGCTACCATTTGTGACGTTTTTCTGTTGTTTTTTCTATTCAGGGATTTTAGGACTATTTTTGAATCAAGTTATCAAAATAATTCAAAAAGTTTTTTACATCCATCGATTCATCTTCTTTACTCATTTTCTCCTTTTGGGGTTGCGAGGGAGCTGGTGCCTATGTACAGCAGTTAATGTGTAAAAGTCTTGGACATGTCTCCAGTCCATCACAGGGACGCATAAAGACAAACGACCACACTCACACCTGTGGACAAATTAAAAGCACTCAATTAACCCAACATGACTGTTTTGAGAAACCTGGAGAAAACTCATGCCCACAGGGAGGACATGCAAACATCCCGCAGGAGCTGAGGTGAGGTGAACCTGTGACCTTCTTGCTACGAGGGGACAGTGCTAACCACTGTTCCGCCATGCCACCCAACTTCTAAATAGAGTTGCATTCGGGTCCAAAAAAAATCAGACCCGAGCCAGCTCGTAGCCATCATTTCCGAACCCCACCCGATCCGACAAATTAACAGTAATTACAGGTCCCAACCCAACCCCCCCCCCCCATCCCCTCTACCCCAACATTTTTAATTAAGCTTTGACTGCTTATATAGATATTAACGGTTGGCTAAGGGAGCAGAAGATCGGAGCTGAGGGGGTGTTCGTCCTTTCATGGCCGTCAAAGAGCAATAATTCTCTGCTTCTGCCTGCACTCTGCATTTTTCAGACATGGACCCTGCTCTGACATGTTGGATATTTTGTGATCTCACCTGTTTGTGTCGTCGGCTGTGCGCGTTCGCCGAGTGCGGCGACTGAATGAACATCCATTTGTGCTGATGGATCGCTGGCAGTAGTCCCATCTGAAGCTTAACTGAACTTTTTACCTCTTTCAAGGCCGGTCAGCGCGCAGTGAATTGGACGCATGCGGCTGGTGATTGTATGGCAAGCCATGTTGCCATATAATTGGATCGTCAACCGCGCGCGCCCACTGATGCAATCAAAAGCACGGCACCGACCCGTCCCACACATTAATATGAACCGGCCCGGTTCTAATCCAAGTCGGGCCGGGCTCCAGGTTTGGGTTAGAAATGACAGCTCTACTTCTAAGAGAGTCAAAATATCAAATTACTAAAGCTGAAATGTTTAATAGCCAAGAAGTGCAATTTAAATTCCACATGATCAAGTTGGCTTTAGTTTGGGAAAACCGTGTATTGTTATGGTCATTTGGCAAATAAAGAATCAAACTTGTGATACCAACTAACCCTTACACACATACTTATTGTTTTGGCTCTTTGACTACCTCCCTTTGTAGCTCAGATACATAAAAATGGTAGGTTAACTTCAAACCCTTGTGCTGTTGGTTGGTGTCTCAGAACCATGTGGGACGTGTGGTATGACCGAGGCTTTTTTCCATCCATCCATTATCTTTATCCAGTTATTACTTTTTGGGTCATGGGGGTCACTGGTGACCACATCCAGCAGTCACTGTGTAGGAGGCGGGGGACACCCTGGACAGGTCTCCAGTCCATCACAGGGACACACAGAGACAAACAACCTCTCTCTCTCTCTCTCTCTTAGAGACAATTTAGAGTTACCAATCAGACTAACATGCCTGTTTTTGGTCTGTGGGAGGAAACCGGAGTACGCGGAGAAAACCCACGCATGCACGGAGAGAACATGTAAACTCCACCCAGAATGGACCCCCGACCGGGATTTGATACGGCGACCTTCTCGTTGAGAGGCGACAGCTCTACCAACTGCACCACCGTGCTGCCGAGGCTTTTTGTTTCTACAATTCAAATGATACAGGACATCAACTGGGTCCATTTCTTTCTCTTTTAATACTGTCTCTCCCACATAGATAATTTACTCAATGATACTAAAAAACAAACAAACACACCAATCGTGTTAAAAATGCACCAACAGCCAATAAGCATGGAGATAAACTCACAGCTGCATCACCAGGTAGAGGTGGTCTGGACTCTCATAGATGTCCTCCAGCGCCACGATGTTCTCATGCTTGATCCTGTGAAGCAAACAAACAGTGAGAGAAGCTTTTTAATTCCAATATTTGGTCTTGAAATGCAGAAACGTTGTGTCCGGGTGAGGAGTCAGTCAAATTCTCATGAATATATACATTTTGGTTTTGCAGCAATAACAAGCAAACAGTAATTAGTGTAAATTAAGATTGTTCTGTAATTTCATACCAGCCATTCCCTGCCAGCACAAACTTGTCAAAAATGTGAATTAATCGTTTTTAACCCCATCTTTTCTCCCATCACACCTTCTGCTCATTTCAATGCTTCTCCTCTCACCTCTCCATGGTTACAGCAGCATGATGAGGGCGGTTCATGTGTGTAGATGTGCAGCTTCATTATCCTAATGCTTTCCATCACGGAGGAACGTGATTAAATTTGCGTGGGTGTTTGGTTTAATCATCGTCTGCATTGTAAATCAAGGTAATTCCCTCCGGACTGACACACATAAACACAAACACAGTAGGTGTTCAGGTGAGGACTGAACACTTAACTCCGGAGTGTATGATCTTTAAGACGGCAGGCAAGCAACGAACCACACACACATCCCACACAAACACGCACAGACCCACACATGAACGTGAGTGCAGGTTCTGAGGGGATAATGTGTGTATTTAAGCCATGCCTGGGATAATAAAGGGCTGGCAGACAACAGTCTGAGGGTAATGGCAGAGCCGAGTCAGAGTGCATTCACAATAAGCCCCTCTTCCATTTCAGGCGTGATGCTGCGGTTCGCCGTTTTCAGTCATGATTTATTTATTTATTTATTTTTTGTCTCTGTGACATTGGTCCAGCTGTACACATCTGTGTTTGGCTGCACCCCAACAAGACTGTATCTCTCAATTTCTATCTCCGCATTTCCTTGCTCAGATTACGTCCATGGTGCTGAAATCACAAGGCGTTTTGGTTATCAGTTTGCAATTAATCTGATTACTTGTTTTTTTTGTCCAGTACCTGACCGTGGTGTTTGCGTCTTTGTAAATGAAAAAATGGAGGACAAAAAGATATATAAACTTAAGTATCTACAAACGAACAGCATCTGAAAATCATGTTTGTAAAAGAAGAATGTCAGCAAAAACCTGACACTGGAGGTAAGAGATCACCTTGTTCATGTTTTAACTATCGTCATCCTTTAGGTTTATGATCCTTTTTAAAGCTAAATGTTTTGTAGGCTATAGAGCTAGGTAGCTTAACAAGAAAAAGAATATCACACTCTTAAGGAAATGAACAGAAAGTGAACTAAAAATGAGTACTGGTACCAGCACACCAAGTTCTTTCCAAACCATCATTGTGCTTTGTACATGATGTTTTTGAACACAACAGTTATCCATAACCTGCCATCCAATGGAAAACCAACTATCAAGTATCAGTGAAAGCCAAAATGGAAGTTGGTACCTCACTTAGTTTCAAATTATGAAGCTCACAAAACAAACGGAGACGGCATTTCCACGAAGAGGGGCAATAAAGGGAGACAAGAAGACCCAGCTTACTGATTTATGTCAACTGATGACAAAAAGAAAAGAAAATCTCAGTAACGAGACAATTCCAAACAGTAGATGAAGTTTGCCCTTAGAAAGTAAGAGAATGCTTTTTAAATAAAACTTAAGAGAACCTTTTTCTGAACCATTTTGGCCTTGGTTGTCTTCAGGCTGTTTCTGTGAGTAGCAAGTTGGCCTTCTGGTCTAAAACATTTGATCGTTAATCATGATGATCGATTGTTTTGGATGGATGGGTCCTTTTGCATGTGTTAAAAGCCTGCTTTTGAGATTCCAACAGGAGGTTGGCCTGAAACACAGCAATGAAGGCTACGTATGAGACAGATCTGGTTGGCAGGCCACAGACTGATGAAGTCTTCCGGATGGACGACGAAACGTTTCTCCCTTAAAGAAACTGGTCCAGATGAAATGATTTAACCTTTTTTTGTTACGGGAACATTGTTACGAGTGTGAAGCAGTTGGGATGAGAATCAGCACCTCCAAACCTGAGGCCATGGTCCTCAGTCAGAAAAGAGTGGATTGATCTCTTCAGGTCGAGGGTGAGGTTCTGCCTCAAGTGGAGTTCAAGTATCTCGCGGTTTTGTTCACAAGTGAGGGAAGAATGGAGCATGAGATTGACAGACTGATTGGTGCAGCGTCTGCAGTATTGCGAACTCTGTACTGGTCCGTTGTGGTGAAGAGGGAGCTGAGCTGTAAGGCAAAGCTCTGTTTACCAGTTGGTCTATGTTCCTATCTTCACCTATGGTCATGAACTCTGGGTAGAGACCGACAGAATGAGATTGCAGACGGTTGAAATGAGATTCTTCAGCAGGGTAGCTGGACTATCCCTTAGAAACAGGGTGAGAAGTTCAGTTATCCAGGAGAGACAGAGTAGAACCACTGCTCCTCCATGTCGAGAGGAGCCAGTTGAGGTGGTTTGGGCATTTGGTAATGATGCTCCCTGGGCGCCTCCCTAGAGAGGTGTTTCGGGCATGTCCACCTGGGAGGAGACCCCAGGGAAGACCCAGGACACGCTGGAGTCTATGTCTCTCGGTTGGCCTGGGAACGCCTTGGAGTCCTCCCAGAAGAGCTGGAAGAGGCTGTGGAAAGATGTCTGGACCTCCCTGCTCAAGCTGCTGGCCTGCAACCCGACTTCAGAACAAGTAGACGATAATGGATGGAAGGAACATTTTTACCACCTGTGGTAGAGCTGAGGTTTTATCAATAGGAAGGCAGCATTACTTGGCTTTAAATGTGAACAGCCAACTCTATGTGACAATTCTACTGCATCTAAAGACATATCACTAAATGTTTTCTTCCACAATGGTCACAATCTCTGCCAAAGCTTAGGCACCAGAGGGGGCGGCCAGTCCTGCTTTAAATTCTCAACAGCGAAGCCATGCCAGTTTACATGCTGCACACCCTGGATTTCCTATGACTGGGAAGCAAACTATGGTTTTAATACACACCTGAAGATTATCCCAAGACCCCAGAAAGACCAATAACACTAATTTCGTCAACAGATTTGTTTTCCATTAATTTCACAGGGTCTTCATCCAGTGTGAAGGGAGCCTACATGTTTCCACTGTTTGAAACTGACTCAAAAAGTAGAACAGAAATATGCGTTTCTTCTTTGCAGGAGAAAAAAGCACAAGGTGAACAGACAAGATGATGCTAGTGAGCGCCATATTTTCTTCACTGTTCAAGACCACATTCACAGTTCTCTCCACCATCTGTTGCCACAGAAAAAAATCAGACCGAGCTGTTTTCTCTCTCATAAAAGCAACATCTTCCAGTTTTGTCACATTAAGTGGTCCAGCTAATTTCTCTCCAATGCCAGCTCGGTGTCTCTCACTGCGCAGGATGGTAGAAACTGTCAGCGATGCTCTCAATTGTTTGCAGTAATGACATCCATTTATCTAAACGAACGTCAGCATCTCTCCCTTATTACTGGTAGCAATTCTCATTTTCGCTAATGTTACACAGAGAGCAAAATTAGCAAACTCGTTTTATTTAATTGCATCATATTTCTCTATTGTCTCTACACACACAATCGAACCACTTAGATACTTCTCTGTAACTGTGTGGCTATATCAATAGTTCATATTTTGGACTTATTTGGATTAAAAAGCACATGTTTGCTGTTAGCTCCTCACCACTTATGAGCCATAGAAGTATCACACAGACATTAGTTTTGGTATGGCAAATTTAAGTACAAAACATTTTGGATTACTGTGAAATTGGAAATACTTTTGAGTACTTTTGAACTACAACCTTCCTTACTAGAGATGGGATGAGATGGGGTAGATAAGAGGTAGGGCAGCTGACCTGGGACCAGAAAGTCACGGTTCGACTCCTCGCCATTCACACGTCATAGTGTCCCTGAGCAAGACACCTAATCCCTAATTGTTCCCCGGACGCTTACATAGCTGCCCACTGCTCCACCTGGTTGTATCTCACATGTGATGGGTTAAATGAAGAGCCAATTTCATCATTGTATGGGAACATACAATGATAACACATAGCACTTATATTGTACAACTGTCCAGCGTGTGGAGTGTACAGATGACAGTGACATGATGTTGGAACCAATGGGTACAGGAAGACACCCATTTACATGAAGGTTCCAAATCAGGCATAAGTGGTTTGGGGCAATGCCAAGAGAGGATTGAAATACTGTGCACCAAGCATTGCAGAAGTGTGACATCAGTGACTACCATCTGTAGCGAAGGAATTCTTTACATGACCCTACATCATCTTGCACTGTCTCAATGACTACAGGTTCAGGTCTAACACTGGTAAAACCTGAGCAGAGATGGCTACACTTGGAGCAGTTCCAAAACTGGGAAGCATGGGCTGAGGATGAGCTGACTTGTATCCTGTTCAATCACTAACACAACAAAAATATGAACACACAGCAAAAGCACAATTGCTTTGTTGCCTTTTATGGAGATCAAAACACTAGCTGAAAGCTGTTAAAACTAAATGCTAGCTAAAACAATACAAATTTTAGCTGGAAGTAGTGAAAACCTATGTAAAAAGTTAAAGTCTAGCTAAAAGCAGTAAAATGGGAGCTAAAAGCTAAACGTAAAGGACTAGCTAAAAAAAATTTAATAAAAGCCAGCTAGGCTAACATGGCAAAGGGCTGGCTAAAGGCTAAAATAGCAAATGGCAAGCTAAAGGCTAAAAATAACAAAAGACTAGCTAAAGGTTGGAAAGTCACACTTAATGATAAAAGCAGCAAAATAACAGCTAGTATCTAAAAGTAGCACAGGCCAAGGATGCAAAATGTTTGCTAAAAGCTAAAGTTATTAAAAGGCTAGCCAGAAACTAAAAGTAACAAAAGGCTAGGTAAATGCTAAAAACAGTAGAACAGTACCCAAAAGCTAAAAGCAGTAAAATGGTAGAAAAAAAGCTCAAGGTAGCAAAAGCCAAGAAAAGCTAAAAAGAACAGTAGCTAAAAGCTAAAAAGTAGCATAAGAACATAAAATGGAGCAAATATGCTGAAGCTGGTTTGTTTGATATGTTTTCAAAGGAACTGAATTCTATGGGGAAAACTACAAAAAACAAAAGTCGTAGCAGTCACCTCCTGAATGAGCTGAACGTTTTGATTAATGAATGGCTAAAATAGCATTGGGTCTGCAGAAGTAGTTAGATTGCAAAAACATACAGAAAAGTTGATTATCATGTGATGTCCTTAATGTGAGATTTGAAAGGTTTTAAATGAATATTTCCTGCTTACGGTGAGCGCACACTCCACGTAAAGCAGGTTTCCCATTTCCCAGCAACAGCCTCACAAGCTGAAAGCTGAAATTACACGTCACGTTCGTGCTTTGGACGGCGCATTCTGCTGCTAAACAGACATCTTCTGTCATTACCGAGCCTCCAGGACGTGCAACAGGCAGGGAACCGTGCGACGCCACGCAGTGATGGAAACGACTGTGGCAGGTGGCTTCGACCACAACACCCATTTTCTTCAGATCTGCCAATAAGCTCCCAGCTGGAGCTGAAGGAAGGCAGCTGTAATTGGGCGCTGAGCTCGCGCCGACGCATTGGTCCATTCAGAAACAGAAACGCGCATCAAAACAAACTCTGCTCGCCAAGCATGAATTATTTTCAGCTCTATTCAGAACATTTGTGTTAAAAAAAGAAGCTAAAGGCGAAGGTGGAGTGAGAATGTGGACAGATTATAATGAACTACGAAGACGTTTATCATTTGGCTGACAGCGACAAATGATTAATTTCTGGAGTTAATTTGAGTCAAGATGGCTGCCACAGCAAAAAAAACCAAAAAACTTTCCAAATACATAAATGGCTATGACTATGTCAATTTTACAGATATTGAGCTAAAATTTAGACCAATAGTAGCCGAGTCAGTTATTCAACCTATACTCAGAGCACTAACAGATTGTGGGAAATCTGTGTTTAAAACTTGGCCATAAACTATTGCAGTCAACCCTGTCTGACTGTTAGCAAAATATCTCATGAACCAATGAACAGATTTTATTGAAACTTCCACAAAGTAATAAATCGATATACAGACCCTTTCCAAAAAATTAGAATATCATGGAAGAGTTGTTTGATTTCCATAATTCCATTCAAAAAGTTCATCTTTAATAGATGATAGATTCAGGGTCCACAATTTAAACAATTTCAAGCATTTATTTGTTTATTTTTACATAATTTGGGCTTCCAGCTCATGAGACCCACGAAAACAGGATTTCAAAAAATTAGAATACTGTGACGACATCAGCCCACACTACTTCTCAGTTCTTGCAGAAAAAAAAAAAGAAATAATTCAGGATCACAACAAATCAATCAAAATATGATACTTTCAAAACGATATGTCATTCTTCAATACTTGGTTGTGAATCTTTGTCTTAATCTCTGCCTCGATGTGACGTGGCATTGAGGCAATCGGTCTGTGGCATTGACTGGGAGTTATAAGCCCAGATTTCCTTGATGCCGTTAGCTCTTCTTTGTTGTTGGGTCTGGTGCTCCTCATCTTCCTCTTGACAATACTCCATAGATTCTCAATGGGGTTCAGGTCCGGTGAGTTGGCTGGCCAGTCAAGCACTGTGGACATCAAACCAGGTTTTGATGCTTCTGGCAGCATGGGCAGGGACCAGGTCCTGCTGGAAGATGAAATCTGCATCTCCATACAGATCCCCAGCAGAAGGAATCATGAACTCCTCTAAAACATTCTGGTAGACTGTTGCGGTGACCTTGGATTTAAGAAAGCAGAGTTTACCAACACCTGCACCGAACATTGCACCCCAGATCATGACTGACTGTGGATATTTCACACTGGACCTCAAGCAGTATGGGTTCTGTTCCTCACCCTTCTTCCTCCAAACCCTTGGACCTTGATTTCCAAATGAAAGACGCACTTTACTTTCATTGAAAAAGAGGACAGAGGAACCCGACAGTTGTAGCTCATCTCCTGGATGCGTCTGAATGTGGTGGTTCTTGAAGCTGTGACTCCGCCTCATTCCACTCTTTCTGGATCTCTGACAGATTCTGGAATCTTCTCTGTTTGATAATCCGCTGAAGCCCATGGTCATCTCTTTTGCAGGTGCATCTTCTCCTGCCACATTTTGTCCTTCCACTAGACTTTCCATTGATATGCTTGGACACAGCACTCTATGAACAGCCAGCCTCCTTAGCTATGAACTTTTGTGGCTCACCCATCCTATGGAGGGGATCAATGATGGTCTTCTGACCAGTTGTTATGTCTGCAGTCTTCCCCATATTGAACCGAACTGAGACAACTGAACCAAGCTGAAGCAATTTAATGACACCTGAGGAAACCTGTGCAGGTGCTTTGAGTTTAGTAGATAATTAGTGTCACACTCAATTTAAAACATTCATGCCCTGCAACATTTTGACTGATTTCTCCACAGTATTATAATTTTTTGAAATCCTGTTTTCGTGGATTTCATGAGCTGGAAGCCCAAATTATGTAAAACTACAAATACTTGAAATTGTTTAAATTGTGGGCCTTGAATCTATCATCTATTAAAGATTAACTTTTTGAATGGAATTATGGAAGTTAAACAACTTTTCCATGATATTCTGATTTTTTGGAAAGGGTCTGTACATCTCTAACTGGTCAACTTTTGAAGTTGATCCAGTTCAAGAGGGCTGCTGTGGACAACTGATATTAAACAACAAAAAATGGCTATAAATTAGCCTAATTTACAAATATTAAGCTAAACTTTGGTAGCTAAACCTTGTCTCAAACATATACTTTAAAAGCAACACATTGAACAGCATCTTTATTTAAAATCTTTGCATTAACTGAGTCAAACCTGTTTGTCTGTTAGCAAAATATTTCATGAAACACTTGGCGGATTTTTATAAAACTTTCTGCAAATAATCTTTGAATGGGCATCTATAAGTAATTTACATTTGGAGACCATTTGATTTAAGATGACCACCACAGCTAGTCAACCTTAGTCTACTAAAATATCCCTCTAACTTGGTGACTTTTATAGATAATGAGCTAAAACTTGGTGTGGTGGTAGTTGACAATCCTGCACAACACAGACTCCAAGCACTAACAGATCAAACAAGATGTCGCTTGAGATTGTGCTAAATGGTACTAGGAAAGTTTAACCAAAAGAGCTACAACTTTGCCATTTTGCAACATAAGATCTTAGTCTAGAGCTCTGGCAAGAAGCAGGCGATGGTAATTTCTTCAAGAAATTCTACGGGTTTGATTGTTTGTATTATAGTGCAGCTGGGTATGTTTGTGTGAATGATAGGTAGGCTGTGGATCGTAAAGGTTTTGGAGGGATGAGGGGGTATTTTTGCACAGAAGGAAAGAGAAGGGGGGGGGGGATGCTGTTACCGCGGTAACCAGGAATTAGCGGGTTTAAGTGTGTGTTTGTGCGACGGCACTCACTTCCTCAGCACGGCGATCTCGTTCTCGATGCTGCTCTCCTTCCCCTTCAGAGCCTTCTTCGGGATGCACTTCACCGCAAACATCCGAGCGCTCTGCTTCTCCTGCGCCAGCACCACCTCGGAAAACGCCCCTCTGACAACACAAACAAAAAACAGCACGTTTATTCATCTGGAGTTACGGCAGACATTCTCAGAGGGTCGGCTTCAGGGTCTGAAATGACTCTCAGCTACTACCACATGCGCAGTTAACTCAATACATGTAAAACCGAGTTATAGATGTTTTTATGTTGGATGATGTTGATTCTCTGTGGGAGCCATCTTGAATTGGGTTGACTCCAAAACAATCTGTTGTAGATGTACATCCAATGATCATTTTCAGAGCATTTCAATCATACATGTTCAGTGGTCCATGAGAAATTTTGCCATCAGACGCACACAGACACGAGCAAAAATGTGACTTCATTTTACGTACAGCTTTCCAAAGCTTTTCATCTGACATTTTATCAATTCAGTTTCTTTGAAAGATAAAAAAAACAACAAAAACCTGGTAATCATTATCATCATTATTATCAGGAGAAATAATTGGGATCTTTAAATTCAGCTCGGTCTTTCAGTTGCCGAATGAAACGGTGTGTGAGTGCATCATGAGGACAGGCAGGATGATGAATGAAGATGAGCCCATTGGTGAGTTAATCTGCCTGATGCAAGTGCTGCTTCCTTTATTTATCTGCCCCCAGGCTCAGCGACATATTGGAGCGAACACGTGTGCCCCCATGTTTGCACTCCTGCTCAACATTCTGGCAACCCAGACCGTCATATATTCAGACTTTATAAACCACGGCTAAAATTAAGACACCACCTTTGTGTTTGTCTGAACTTTTAGTCCGGTTAGACCCGTTATGAACCTTCAGCTCCTTAGTCAAAGGACTTTATACTCAGTGTTTCCCCTACCGTTATCCAAGGAGGGTGCCACGCCCTGCCTACTGAAACTGAAACGTCCTTCACACAATCCCCCCACCCCTCCGTCGACAATTTCCGGTATTGATATAGCGCAATAAAGATACGCTAGCTAAGAAGCTACAGACGTAGCGCACCGCTTCTCACGCACTTCCTTCTAAAATTCTCTAAGCTGACAAAATGTTGAAGATCAAAAGAACTTTGAAAGATTTTGCCAGTGGCTCATTAGGATCGTCCTGGTAACCGCACACGTCAAGTAGGCAGAAACACAGAGCAGAAGGTAAGCCTCAGCTAGGCCTGTCACGATAACAAATTTTGTTGGGCGATTAATTGTCTCAGAAATTATTGCGATAAACGATAATATTGTTTGAAATTTGACAATAATTAGTTATTATTGTCAAATTTAAGAAGAAATGTTTGTTTTGCATGTAGTAACCTTTTTCGACCACCACATGGCAGTAGAAAACTGTTTGAACCTAAGGATGGATACTGAGGGAGCAAGCAACGTCTCTAAGAAAAATGGGAGGGAGGGATGTGCGATATGGCATAAAATTAATATCACAATATGTATTGTGATGGGTGGCGGTAACGATATATATCACAATATGCTTATTTTTTTAGCTCAAATGCTTCAACTAAAGCTGACCAATGAACTTTCTATGAAAAAAATCTTTCAACGGAACACTGAATTTTGCGCAGCGTCTGAATACGAGTACGGCAAGCTGGCCGTAGTTAGCTTGTAGCTTCGCCACTTAGCTGTCAAAGAAAGGACTGTAACACCACTTACGCACTGTTTTCAACTAAAAAAAGTAATTATTAAATCTGACAACTCTGATTTTACATCAGATTCAGCATTGCTGTGGTTAGCTGATGGAATACAGGTCTCTATCATAGGCTAAATGTCTATCGTTTCTAGTGTGTACCATATATAATGCATATTCCTAGAGGGAGGCGCTTTGGAGCTTCGACAAGATGGAGGATTGTTCCTGAGGTCAGCCTGTTAGCTTAGCTCATAACTTAACTTCTCAGCTTAGCTGCTTTTGAAAACAGATTTTAAAGAGAAAAGAGAAAGGGAGGGGTCAGTGAAGAGCAACAGAGTTGATTATTTTTCATCCAGTGTCTTCAGTAGAAAGAGAGAGACACGAAGAAACGATAAAGCCGATAAATGAAAATGAGGTCAATAAATCTCATTTATCATACGATTAATTGATTTATTGTTTATCGCGACAGGCCTAGGCTCAACTAAACAGCTGAACTATAGATTATCCATCTATTATTCTCAACCCGCTTCTTCCTTTTCGGGTCACGGGGGTCACTGGTGCCCATATCCAGCGGTTACTGTGCAAGAGGTGGGGGACAGCCTGGACAGGTCTCCAGTCCATCACAGGGACACAGAGTCAAACGAGACAAACAACCATTCACTCTCTCACTCACACCTAGGGACAAATTAGAGTTGCCAGTCAGTCTAACATGCATGTCTTTGGTCTGTGGGTGGAAACTGGAGTACCCAGAGAAAACCCACGCATGCACGGAGAGAACATGCAAACTCCACCCAGAAAGGTCTCGGGCTGGGATTTGATCTGGCGACCTTCTTCTCGCTGAGAGACAGCAGCCCTACTAACTGCGCCACCTGAACTATAGATAGTACTGAAAAAAAATGATCAGAAAGGTGGTATTTCACAGAGTCGTGACTGATGGGAAACAAGAACATTTGGGAATTTTTGTTACGACCTCACTGAACTCTGAGTGTTTGCAACCAAGTGATCAACAAGAGGCCATGTTTTGAAAATCACAAAGTATGTAAAACTGCATACTTGGTTGTGCACATTGTTTTATTGTCCATCTCAAAGTCTGCCCCCCTTTTCTTCTACATTTTATACCTAAACATTTTTCTTGGATGGTTTATGTCAGATGATAAGAGTCCAAAGTGCTCTCAAGACCACAACAAATTTTTGACTATTTGGATAAAATTTGTGCACATTTATAAAAATATATTTTCAAAACTGAAGAATCTTAAACACATGTCTCTGTGACCTATGCGAGGTAAATTGAGAACCCTGCATGTTTACTAGGGGTGTACCGATAAATCAGCCGGCCGATTTATCGGCCCCAATTTCCTTAATTTTGGGAAATATGACATCGGCCAATACGTGCATGGGAAACCGATTTTTTTAGTTTTAACAACAATTGTCTGCACTTCATTTATATTTCAGAGCACTACCTCATGGCCAGTTAAACAAGTTTGTATTGCTTCTAGGATATTGTTCAAGGGTATGTTTTTCAATAAAATAATATTGGAAAATTGAAGGTGCATTGTGACAGTGTCCCTTATAAAACAAAATCGGTATCGGCCAAAATCGGAATCAGCAGGTCAGACTTTTTAGAAATCGGTGATCGGCCAGAAAACTGTAATGGGTGCACCCCTAATCTTTACAGAATGAATGGTAAAGTTACAACCACATTATTGTAGTTGCTTACACAGTACAGCCCTATTGTGAATACAGAAGTTTTGTTTTGAAAACCAACAATTTTACAATAACTCACTATACATAGTTCAAACAGTAAAAATTTAATTTGCCACTAATATTACAACAAACATTTACAATGTATAATTACATAACATCAATCTTTCTTATTATAATCGCCCCAAATTAAATGCATATTATAGCTGAAAAAGAAGAGAAAATACATTTTTTATACGCCCGTCCAAGGGGAGACGGATTACAGAATAGTCTCCTTCTGCCAACTTTCACTTGTCCTGCCCATAAATTCTGATTCGCTCAAGATAATTTAACAGACTTCATACACATATGGATCATCACTAGACGGAGGGTCGCATACAATTTTCATCACCCTACTCCAAGGTCAAGGTCACAAATCAAGGTCAAAGTTATACACGGTTTTTCTTGTCCGGGCTGTTGCTATAGATGACTGTATATTAGATTGTTGATGGGTGTATAAAGGTGCTGTGGTCTTGTTAAAGATCTTGTTATAATATAGAACAGACTCGGGAGTAGACACATCTGTGAGGCAAGATGAACCTTGAAATTCTAATACCTGCGTCGTACAAAAAAGAACATAACTCGCAAAAGAAGTCAAACTCAAACTAGAGAAATTGCATTTCCTGCAAAAATGCAGTGTGAATGCTTATTGCAGGAGAACAGCTGGAATTGGCTAAAAAAACATGCTGAAATGAAGAACTAGCCCAAAGTAGCAGAAGAAAGCAGAAAGAACACACATTTGCTGAAATAGGTTTAAATAAGCAGAAAAGAGAATACCAAAATTAGAAAATTAGCTAAAAAAGCTCAAAGTTGAAACAATAGCTGAAAAGGCAAAAATAAGCTTAAACTATCCGAAATTTTTTTTCATTCAACCTTTATTTATACAGGTTAGTATCATTGAGCCTCGGCAACTCATTTACAAGAGAGACTTGAATTTTAACAAATAATGACGACAACAGTAGACAATCATGAAATAAAGTAAGTAAATTGAGAATAATAAATGAAAGAATGAAGCCCAAAGAGCTGATGTGAGATCAAAGAATGTGTAATTAGCAGAAAAAGCAAAAATTAGCATAAAACAGCTAAATAGTAGCCGAAATAGCAGGGACTAACTGAAAAAAGCTGAAACGAGCATAAAGTTAATTAGCCAGAAAGTAGCACAAATTATCACGAAAAACTTGAACTTATCAGAAAACAGCTGAAATAAGCTGAAAAAATGCTAAAAAAAAAGTAGCTGAAAATGTAGAAAAAGCTCAAATTATCAGAAGAAAGCAGAAAGAAAATGTTTGCTCAAGGCTGTAAGAAGCAGAAATTAGTCCAAAAAGGTGGAAATTATCTGAAAAAAGAAGAGGCTGAAATCTGCAACATAAATAAATAAATAAATAAAATAAATAAATAACTTGCTGAAAAGTAGCTAAAAAGGCATAAAGAAGCTGAAATTACAGGAAGGAAGTGGAGAGAGTACATTTTTGGTGAATTATGCTGAAAAATGTTGAAATAAGTGCAAAAAATGTGGAATCACCGGAAAAAGCTTAAATTAGCATAAAACAGCTAAATAGTAGCTGAAATAGCAGAAAAAGCTGAAGCTTGTAGAAAGGAGCTAAACAAGGTGAAAATAGCAAAAAGAAGTTAGAAGAAGGACAAAAATGTTGTAGTTAGCACAAAGAATCTGAAA